TGGGGCTCTGTGGGTCCCTATAGGTCTCCATGGGGCCCTATAAGTCTCCATGGGGCTCTGTGGGTCCCTATAGGTCTCTATGGGGCTCTGTGGGTCCCTATAGGTCTCTATGGGTCCCTATAGGTCTCCATGGGGCTCTGTGGGTCCCTATAGGTCTCCATGGGGCTCTGTAGGGCTCTGTGGCACTCTGTGCAGCTCTATGGGCACCACAGGTCTCTGAGGAGCTCTATAGGGCGCTATGGGGCTCTACAAACTCTACAGGTCTCTGTGGGGCTCTACGGGTTTTATACGGTTCTATAGAACTCTATGAAGCTCTGTGGGGTTCTATGGTGCTCTATACAACTCTATGGGCTCTACAGGTCTCTGTGGTGCTCTATAGGCTTTATAGGACTCTACGGGGCTCTATAGATCTCTATGGGGCCCTGTGGGGCTCTACATGGCTCTATGATGCTCCATACAGCTCTATGAGCTCTACAGGTCTCCATGGGGCTCTGTAGGTCCCTATAGGTCTCCATGGGGCTCTGTGGGTCCCTATAGGTCTCCATGGGGCTCTGTGGCACTCTGTACAGCTATATGGGCACTACAGGTCTCTGAGGAGCTCTATAGAGCTCTATGGGGCTCTGTGCGGCTCTATGGGGCTCTACAGACTCTATAGGTCTCTGTGGGGCTCTATAAGACTCTATGGGGTTTTATACGGTTCTATAGGACTCTATGGAGCTCTGTGGGGTTCTATGGTGCTCTATACAACTCTATGGGCTCTATAGGTCTCTGTGCGGCTCTATAGGCGTTATAGGACTCTATGGGGCTCTGTGCGGCTCTATGGCGCTCTATACAGCTCTATGGGGTTCTATAGGTCCCTATAGATCTCTGTGGGGCTCTACGTGGTTCTATGACACTCCATACAGCTCTATGAGCTCTATGGGTCTCCATGGGGCTCTGTAGGTCCCTATAGGTCTCTATGGGGCTCTATGGCACTCTGTACAGCTCTATGGGCTCTACAGGTCTCTGAGGAGCTCTATAGAGCTCTATGGGGCGCTATGGGGCTCTGTGCGGCTCTATGGGGCTCTGTGGGTCCCTATATATCTCTATGGGGCTTTGTGGGGCTCTATGGCACTCTGTACAGCTCTATGGGCACTACAGGTCTTTGAGGAGCTCTACAGAGCTCTATGGGGCGCTATGGGGCTCTGTGCAGCTCTATGGGGCTCTATAAGTCCCTATAGATCTCTGTGGGGCTCTATGGGCTCTATAGATCTCTATGGGGCCCTGTGGGGCTGTACGTGCCTCTATGATGCTCCATACAGCTCTATGAGCTCTACAGGTCTCCATGGGGCTCTGTGGGTCCCTATAGGTCTCCACGGGGCTCTGTGGGTCCCTATAGGTCTCCATGGGGCTCTGTGGGTCCCTATAGGTCTCCATGGGGCTTTCTGGGGCTCTATGGCACTCTGTACAGCTCTATGGGCACCACAGGTCTCTGAGGAGCTCTATAGAGCTCTATGGGGCGCTATGGGACTCTGTGCGGCTCTATGGGGCTCTACAGACTCTATAGGTCTCTGTGGGGCTCTATAAGACTCTATGGGGTTTTATACGGTTCTATAGGACTCTATGGAGCTCTGTGGGGTTCTATGGAGCTCTGTGGGGTTCTATGGAGCTCTATACAACTCTATGGGCTCTATAGGTCTCTGTGGGGCTCTGTGCGGCTCTATGGGGCTCTATAGGTCCAAACAGATCTCTGTGGGGCTCTATGGGCTCTATAGATCTCTCTGAGGCTCTGTGGGGCTCTACGTGGCTCTATGATGCTCCATACAGCTCTATGAGCTCTACAGGTCTCCATGGGGCTCTGTAGGTCCCTATAGATCTCTATGGGGCTCTGTGGGTCCCTATAGATCTCCGTGGGGCTCTGTGAGGCTCTATGGCACTCTGTACAGCTCTGTGGGCTCTACAGGTCTCTGAGGAGCTCTATAGAGCTCTATGGGGCTCTACAGACTCTATAGGTCTCTGTGGGGCTCTATAAGACTCTATGGGGTTTTATACGGTTCTATAGGACTCTATGGAGCTCTGTGGGGCTCTATGGTGCTCTATAGGTCTCTGTGGGGCTCTGTGCGGCTTTATGGCACTCTATACGGCTCTATAGGTCCCTATAGATCTCTATGGGGCTCTATGTGGCTCTATGATGCTCCATACAGCTCTATAAGGTCTACAGGTCTCCATGGGGCTCTGTGGGTCCCTATAGGTCTCTATGGGGCTCTGGGGGTCCCTACAGGTCTCCATGGGGCTCTGTGGGGCTCTATGGCACTCTGTACAGCTCTATGGGCACCACAGGTCTCTGAGGAGCTCTATGGGGCGCTATGGGGCTCTACAGACTCTATAGGTCTCTGTGGGGCTCTATAAGACTCTATGGGGTTTTATACGGTTCTATAGGACTCTATGGAGCTCTGTGGGGTTCTATGGTGCTCTATACAACTCTATGGGCTCTATAGGTCTCTGTGGAGCTCCATAGGCTTTATAGGACTCTATGGGGTTCTGCGGGCTCTATAGGTCTCTGTGGGGCTCTGCATGGCTCTATGGCGCTCTATACGGCTCTATGGGCTCTATAGATCCCTACAGATCTCTGTGGGGCTCTACGTGGCTCTATGACGCTCCATACAGCTCTATGAGCTCCATAGGTCTCTATGGGACTCTGTAGGTCCCTATAGGTCTCTATGGGGCTCTGTGGGTCCCTATAGGTCTCCATGGGGCTTTCTGGGGCTCTATGGCACTCTGTACAGCTCTATGGGCACCACAGGTCTCTGAGGAGCTCTATAGAGCTCTATGGGGCGCTATGGGGCTCTGTGCAGCTCTATGGGGCTCTACAAACTCTATAGGTCTCTGTGGGGCTCTATAAGACTCTATGGGGTTTTATACGGTTCTATAGAACTCTATGGAGCTCTGTGGGGTTCTATGGTGCTCTATACAACTCTATGGATTCTATAGGTCTCTGTGGAGCTCCATAGGCTTTATAGGACTCTATGGGGCTCTGTGGGGCTCTGTGCGGCTCTATGGACTCTACAGGTCTCTG